AAAAAAAAAAAAAAAAAAAATTAGGTGTGTTACTTAGGGCTGCATTTCAGACATCTCTGTCTTTTCCCGGTTGTTTTGATTCATCATTGTGGTTCAACCTCCACATTCATACCTCAGCTCTTAACTGTTCCTGAGCTTCAAATCTATAGCTCCCCACAAAACATTCACACCTGAGTTTCAGCAAACCCCCTCAAATGCCTTGTCCTAGGGCCTATGTTATTTTCCCCTGCGAAGACACTCTTCCTCCTCCTGCGTTCAGTTTCAGTTAATGGCCTCCTCCCTAACCCTCAGGAAGTTGTTTTAATTCCACCTTTACTCTCTCACTCCAACTTCCAGATCCAGTCTTCAAATCCTGCCATTTCCACTTCAGCAAAGCATTCTCAGGTCTGTTCCTCCTTCCTAGTCTCGCCGCCTCTCTGCCTTTCTATTCTTCTACTGCCACTGGATGTCCCCTCCTAACTTTTCAGGTCCCTGTTGCAATAACTGCACTTTTTTTTCTCAGGAGCTCTCTATTCCAATCCATTCTTTCACTTACACCAAGATAGCTGTTAAAAACAGCCATGATCATATTTCTCTCTATAGACATTCACCAATGACTTTCTTTGTAAGTTAAACTCTAAAATAGTATGATTAGCAGGTCCTTTACAGGCTGCACCCAAAACACATGTGTGGCTCCTTGCCACCCGTCATGCCTTTACATCCCCAGCCACAGCAGTCTTCCTACCATCCTCCAAGAAGGTCAGATTTTATTTCTCAAAATAAAATCCTCCAAGATAGTCCTTCCCATTCCCTTCCCCTGACATTCTAATGCTGTTTCATCTGCTTAAGAATCTTTTCTTCCCTGCCAGACAACATTTTTTTTTTTTTTTTTGAGACAGAGTCTCACACTGTTTCCCAGGCTGGAGTGCATTGGTGCAGTCTTGGCTTACTGCAACCTTCACCTCCCAGGTTCATGCAATTCTCCTGCCTCAGACTCCTGAGTAGCTAGGATTACAGGCACACACCACCACACCCAGCTAATTTGTTGTATTTTTTGTAGAAACTGGGTTTCACTAAGTTGGCCAGATTGGTCTCGAACTTCTGACCTCATGATCTATCTACCTCAGCCTCCCAAAGTGCTGGGATTATAGGCATGAGCCACCGTGCCCGGCCCACACAATATCTTACTCATTTTTTGGTATCAAGTTTAAATATCTATTCTGTTGGAAAGACTTTCTAGCATTTCTTGCACCCCAACAGTGCTCCCCCTCCCCCAGAACAAATCTCTCTCTCTCTCTCTCTGCAGAGTCCCCATTACTCATGAATGTACTCAATTATAAGCTGTTAGTAACCAGGTTATAATTTTTGCTTGGAGATTGAATCAATTTTATAGATGATAAATTCCTTAAAGATACAGATAATTTTCACTTAGCTATCTATATGTCCCTGAATGGCTGGAACACAGTCCCTGGCAGAGTAAATACTTAATGTTTGGTAAGTAAACGCCTAACAATTGGTGATTATTAGAAGGGCTGATAATCCATGCTAAGGGCACAAATGAAGAGCAGTAACCCTGCAGTGTTTCATTGTTTCTTGGGATATGAACCATTCATTATACAGTGATGATTTAGTAATTTGCTGTTTCATTGCTTTAAACTCACCCTCGTAACATCGCACTCAGCGCTCTGTCCAATTGCTTTCACCTACCCACATACGGCGTACACTTCTAAAGGCCATGAACAGGTCAGTTTGCCTGTGATTAGCAAACTGAGCACTGTCCCTGTGACGGCATGATGAGCATGAATGAAATCATCATCCATTCTCACTAAAAGCATACATGTTATAAGAAGGAATTATACAGCCCTCTAACAAATGATACTTGTAAGATTAAAAAAAATCTTTCACATTTTGTTTTTTGTGATGAAGAACCTCAGTAAAGAAAATAAAATTTTTTACATCCTTATAATTAGCTGAGATTATTTAAATAAAATAATTATTCTCTTGATTGAGAATTTTTCTAAAAGTCCAACTGAGTTTTACAAAGAAAAGAAAAGAAAAAAGACTGGATTTTATAAGAATGATTTTTTAGCAGATGTTTTGTCCCTTAGGCGAAAATACCTGGCATTTGTTTTCCAGACGAGCTGCTTCCAGAGTCCACATGTCATATAGCACAGCAAACCCGTTCACACGTGCATGGGCCCATGCACAGTCCTGACCACTCTTTGGCTGGGTGCCCACTTTGTGACCTGGTAGGAAAGAGGGTGAGAACATTTAGAAATGGGACTCCCAAGGAACCTGTTCCAATTAGAAATGTGCCCCTTAGATTATCAGCTCCATCTCAGAAATAGAAATACTGAACCAGTCCCTGGGACGAACATTGAGTTCATACTGGTTAACTTCTAAGTCAATAGGAGTTTTTGTTATTATTTTTAAAATTTAGTTTTAAAGACTAATCTTAGAAATAGAATCAAAATTTAGTTAACAAGTAATCTATGCTAAAGTGTCTTCAAACTTACAATTTAAAGGCAAAGCATGCATTTCTCCTCCTCTAAAAACAAATCCCTGGTGGCTTAACAACAAACTCAGTTTGACTTGCTATTTCCATCACTGTTAACCAAGTCAAAAATTTTCAGAGACCTTTCCAAGATATTCCTTAATTATGTTAATTACTAACTTAAATCAATGAAGGTAATTTTCATTATTCAGCTTAAATTTTTTTTTTTACTTTATTGTTATTTTTCACTACCGGCATTATTATTGCTTTAAATTTTTAAGTTTTTTATTTCAGAATTAATTTTCAAAGATAAGATATTTTCATGTGCTGAAATTTCAGTTAAATAACTATCACATATATGATGGGTACTAAGCAAGAGAAAGATGATCAGGAACTTCCCTAGCAACAGTTGGGAAATCATTTCACAATAGATGGCTACATATTTACCAGTTAAACTGAAAGATGCCCATGTGGTTAGATGACTACTGACTAAGTATCTCAATCCAATTAAATTCTAAGCAGCTAGAAATACTTGCATGGTATTATAAATTAATATGGACAAAATGATGCATTAGTATGTAGGATAACCAGTAAAAATAAGAGCTAAGAGCTGAAAGTAAATATCCTGCAATGTTGGATGCCATCATTGTGTCCTATAATTCAGACACCAATGGCAAAGATAGGACAAAGAGCTCAATCCTACATTAAATTAATTCTGTCTGGGATCTGAAAAGTTAGTTGTCAAACTTTCTTTGAGCAGCATTTTGTAACAATATCAGTGTGAACTTTCTTTAATTACAGTCTACACATATTACAAAATAGCACAAACCCTCATTAAGTTTCCCTTTAGGTATTGCAATGTGTCTAGAAATTCTAAGCTCTTTGCAAATGTAATTCCAATGCTGTCATAGTATCCCAAAAGAATATTCTTACCTCATCCATTTCTAAAATTGGATCAATTTGAGTGATGCCAAAAGGAAGAGAAAATACAGGTTATGGGTTATTTGATCACCCTGAGTGACGATTCCTTCCTCTAGGGCTTGTCTGTATTTTCCTAGCCAGATGTTCTTGCATCTTGGTGGTTTCCTAATAGGAACCCAGGGCTGTCTCTGCTGCTAAATGCAGTTTCCTCAAGGTCCACACTAAGAAAGAAAAGTCATTTGTTTCACTTGCTTACTTTCCTTCCCTTGGGGTCCTGAACCCAGTGGGTGATGCAGAAATGCCCCTGGGAGTCGAATCCCAATTCTTGGCTTAAGCCTGTTTTAGTCAGAGACTACCCAACTTGGAGTGCAGGTCACCAGAGTGGGTGAAGGGTCAGAGGTCGGGCCTTCAGCCCTGAGAGGTGAAAATGCAGGGGCCGTGCTGTCCCTTGTACCTCAGGAGAGCAAGGAAGGAACTGGGCCTGCCCTGCTCCTTGATGCCCCTGTCTCCCCTAGGCTTTCCCAGAAGGCGACACCCTCCTCCTCAATCCAACCCACCTTTCCAGCCCCCTCAGGCCCACGATCTACTTCTGAGTGTTGCACTAGGATTCTTATTGCTTAAAGTGTCCTAATTCCTTGTTCCCTGACACACAACCCCTCTAGCTATCAAAGGGCGGATCATGAGAAACCTGCCAGGGAAACAGAGCACAGAATGGACTGTTAGTTGTTTTTTTAAAGTCTACATAAACATTTCAACAGATCACAAAGAACACATTTATCTCTTCAGTCCTTGCAAGAGAAGTCAAAGGAACTTTTGTTTTTTATTAAGAACCTGGACATCTCTGTCTGTCATGACTGGAAAGAGCCTATTGTACTGAAATCCTGTCATCATGGTGGATTTGATCTTTAGTGGCCAAACGTGAAGAATTAAAAGCACAATTCTTGGCTGAACTTCTGGGTGGGTTGAACTTTAGGAGTACACGGGTGGTCATTCCTGGCTCACATATCAGTGTGACATGAGCCTTGGAGTGTGTCATCTCTCTCAGCCCTGCTCCAGCTGCCTCCTGTGGCCCAGTGACTAAGGCCCTACTCTAGAACTGTGTATCATCAAATTCATCAGTATAAAACTTCCTGCTGCAAAAA